TTTTTTTTTTTTAGGGGGCTTTTCATACCTATAAATAAACTAACTTACTGAGCCTCTGGCTCTTTGTTTTTCTGGAACCACGAAGAGTCCAGATATAAAGATACAGGTCTTGCCTAGGTGGCAAGGGGGTCTGCACCTATTTCTCCCCATTAGGAGGCTTTTCTTTTTTTTTTTTTTTTTTTTTATTTTTTTTTTTCTTTTTTATTTCTTTTTTCTTTTTTCTTTTTTTTTTTTAGGGGGCTTTTCATACCTATAAATAAACTAACTTACTGAGCCTCTGGCTCTTTGTTTTTCTGGAACCACGAAGAGTCCAGATATAAAAATATAGCTCTTGCCTAGGTGGCAAGGGGATCTGCACCTATTTCTCCCCATTAGGGGGCTTTTCTTTTTTTTTTCTTTTTTATTCTTTTTTTTTTTAATTCTTTTTTTTCTTTTTTTTTCTTTTTTATTCTTTTTTTTTCCTTTTTTTCCCTTTTTTTTTATTTTTATTTTTTTTAGGGGACTTTTCATACCTATAAATAAACTATTTAACTTACTGAGCCTCTGGCTCTTTGTTTTTCTGGAACCACGAAGAGTCCTGATATAAAGATACAGCTCTTGCCTAGGTGGCAAGGGGGTCTGCACCTATTTCTCCCCATTAGGGGGCTTATCATACCCCTTTTTAGGGGTTCTATCTTGCTAGTGTAGAGAAAAAAAGGTACCTGGGAAGGAATGATAGGGTGGCGGGGACATGAAGGAAGGATAGGGTGGCGGGGACAGGGTGGGGGCAGAGCCCCCAGCCTCATTGCTTCAGATGTTGCTTGTTGGCGACGGGCTTAGATCACCATGATCTTCACCTCGTCGTTGTCATCAGCCCGGTAGAAGAAAGGGATGCAGGGGTTGTCGCCCAAGCCTGGGCGCTGCTGGGTGTTCTGCATCTCTCGCAGCAGCTGTATGATCTGCTGTGCAGTAGGGTTCTCGGGGGCACTGCGGCCCGGCAGGGCCTCTCCCTGGGGAGGTGCCACACTCTCCTCGTTGGCCAGGTTCACCTCTTGAATATCTTTCAGGGCAGGGTGGGGAGGGGGGAGAGAAGCAGGGCTCTGAGTGCTGTGCCAGCTCTCCCCACCCCCGCCCCCCAAACCGCCCGCCCTGAGGGTTCTACTCACCGCCTTGGCCATTGGCATCGCCAAGCTCTCGGGCTGGGGGTGCCGCAGCAGGCTCCCCAGCAGGGTTGTGGGCAGCGGCCTTGCCCTGCCATTTGTCACGCTCGTCGACTAGGCGAAGCACCAAGTCCTGCAGCTCCAGCAGCTTCACCTGGAGGGAGAGGGGCTGAGCACCCTTGTGAGCCCCACCCCCGCCCCACCCCGCTCCTGGGACTGCTCAGGGTCCCCCACCTTCATTTCCTCCTTGTCCTGAGCCAGCCGGCTAATGTACTCCTCCTTCTCCCGGTGCCGCTCCTTGAGCACGGCCCTCTGACTCTGGTAGAGGGCAATATACTCTCCTGCGGGCAGAGGGGCACGTGCTCAGGCTCGGGGGGCCATGGCGGAGCTCCTCCCCACCGCCTCTGGCGCCAGCCCTGCCGCTCACCAATAGTGTCCGTCTCTCCAGAAAGCTGGATGCACCGATGCTCCAGCTCATCCACCCGCTCCTTCAGATCCACCTTCTCCTGTATGAGGGCCGTGAAGCGGCCCTGCGCCCAGAGGAGTCAGGGGTCAGGGTTTGGCAGCGGCCTGGGGGGGCCCCCCACCCTGCCAGGCTGAGCTGGAGCCCGAGGAAAGGCGCTCACCTGCAGCTTGTCCATTGCCTCCTGGAGGGCCTGGTGGGTCTCCACAGGCACACTGTCGCCCCCGCTCCCAGGGGCCTTGTCACCTGCCTCCTGCTCTTGGCCGGGGGCCACCAGGTGAGCCAGGCGCCGACAACGCAGCTTTTGTTGCTTCAGCTGCCCACGCAGCCGGGCCTGCTCTTCCTCAGCACCGGCTAAGGCCGAGTTAAAATATGCCACCTGCGGGCAAGACGTGCAGGTGTGCTTTCGTGGTGGGGGGGGTGCTGCTCAGGATGAGCAGAGGGCAGGGGGGTGGCGGGAGCTCCTCCTCCACCGGCCTTTCCCAGTGGGCACAAGCCTGGGCTTCAAGGATGGAGCGACAGCTGACAGCTGGCTCCCAGGGGTGTCAGGGGTCAAGAGAAGTCAAGGGAGGCAGACCAAGGGGTAAGGAGGGTGCCCCAGTGTGTGGGGGGGCCACAGAGGGAAGCACGAAGTGGGGGCAGGGAAGGAAGGGGCAACAACGGGGGCCCACTCACCATGGCCTCTCGGCTATCCAGGCCCTCTGGCATGCTCAGCTTCGGACGGGCAGCCGCCTCGTCCTTCTCCTCACCGTCCAGTCCGTCTCCTGTCGGGGCAGCCGGTGGGGGGTGGTGCTCAGACAACCCAAGAGGGGAGGTGGAGTGGGCCAGGGAGGAAAGCTTGAGGCGGGCTCCGGCCCACCTCCCTGTGCGACCTTGGGCCAGCCCGTCCCCCCGAAGGAGAAGGAATCCCTGTCCTAAAGATCCCTTCATACACTAAAGTCGCCCTCCTCCCTGGGCTCTGTCCTCCTCCCCTGGGTGCTTCCACCTACCTTCTCCAGGCATAGCCATGAGGCTCAGCTGGGCCTGGAGCTGCTGGTTCTGCTGGGTGGCAGCTTCCAGGCGTCCCTGAGGGGCCAGAAAAGAGTGAGGAGGGACACAGAGGTGGCAGGCCCTCCCCTTGGGGGCCCAGCCCTCGAGCCTTCAAACACCCTCACCTGGGTCTCCTCTAACTCTTGGCGGGCCTTCTCGGCCGCCACCTTGACCTCAATATCCTCGCTCTGCAGCCGGTCCATGAGCTGGGTCTGCACCAGGACCTGCCTCTGCAGGAGCTCCTTGTCCGAAGCCAGTTGCTGGTAGGCAGCCACGTGCTGCTGATAGGCCGCCACATACTGCTGCAGGTGGCTCACGTACTGGTCGCGCTGCTGCTGCAGGCTCTCGGCCTCCCGGCTCTTCAGCTCCACCTGCAGGAAGACCCCGGAACTGAGACTTCGGAGCCCAGGCTGGGGAAGTCAGGTGTGGGGGTAGGAGGGGGCTTGCTAATCTCCCTTTTAGACTAAGGACACCGAAGCCCGGAGGTGAGAAGCAGAATAGTGACCAGTGGAACTAGGGGCGGCACCCAGGGCCAAATCTGAGAAGGTGCCCTCGGCACATGGTCTCTTGCTCTCTGGTTAAAGGGCTCGGGGTCTCTAGCCAGGGCGGCGACCTCCGGGCCCAGGGCTACCCACTTCGTAAAGTCAGAGAACGGGGAGCAACAAGGAGCCTCGCCATAGGCAGGCTGGGAAGGGTCTGGGAGTCCTGTGCCCCCCCCACCCCGCCAGCTGGAGCTGCCTTGTCCTGGCCAAGCCTCCCACCACCCTCCAGGCGGGTGTCTGTCTGCCAGGGCGCGGGGCTTACTGTCTCCTTCAGCTCCCCCAGCTTCTCCTGCAGCTGGCCCAGTCTCTTGGCCAGCTCATTCTTGATGTGCTGTTCTGTCTGCAGCGCAGTGGTGACCTCCATGTTCTCATTGGACTGGACAGAGGGGAAGAGTCAGCGGCCACCCGGGGCAGCCTGGGCCCCCGGAACATGACATCCGCCTCCCATGGCTCATCTGAGCGGGGCTCTCTGGCTCACAGCGTGCCTTCACAGGGACCGTGTCACATGGGGTCCTTACCCCCCACCCAAACCCCATTTTACGGCTGGGGAAACAGAGGCCCAGAGGGGTTCGGTGTCCCGCCCTGCACCAAAGGGCTTGGCCAGAGAGGGGCTGCACACCAGCTTGACGAAGCCGTCCTGCAGCTCAGCCAGCTGCTCCTTGAGCTCGCGGTTCTGGGACAGCGCGCGGCTGATGGTGGTACGGTCGCTCTGCATGGTCTCCAGGATCCTCTTGCGCTCCTCAGCCTGGTCCCCCCAGCACTCGGCGGCGCGCTCCAGCTCCAGCAGCCGCTGCTCCTGCTCCTGGTTCAGGCGACTCAGACCTTCGTTGTCCTTCACCTGGGCCTGCAGCTGCCCCGCCAGGATCTCCAGTTCCTTCTGTAGTTGCTCCGCCTCCATTTGCAGCCGCTGCTCCTCCTCCGAGGGCCCAGCTGGGGGCTCTGGGGCTGGAGGCACCACTGGGGGGGGGGGGTGCACGGTAGGGGCCTCTCACCTCTGTGCCTTCCGAAACCCCTCTGCTTGGTTCACAGCTCCTCCCTGGGCCTCGTCACCCCAAACCTGGGCTTCCCGGCTAACAGTGCCCTCACACTCATGGGACAGGCTCTTTCTAGAACCTTTCGGATAGAGTTCTTTAGGTTTTTGTGCTCAAGACAACTCTGGCTGATTGCCAGCGGGCACTGTACCCAGCCTGGCCAACTCCTGGTATAGCCCTCCTTCCCTCGGCCACAGTCCCCTTCCATCCGTCCATGCCCCTAGGGCCACTCCAAGGCACCCTGACCAGCCCTCTGCCACCAATCCTGTTCCCAGATCGTCCAGCCCTGGCTTACCTAGCTGCTTCTTCAGTTCGGCCACGCTGGCCTCCAGTTCCTGCACCTGACACACACTATGCTCCTTCTCGTCCCTCAGTTTGTGCATCTGCCCAAAGCACAGGGGGAGGGGCATGTGGGGGGCGGGAAGGGAGGACCAATGCCCTCTCTCCCCCCACCGCACCCCTGTAAACACTACACAGCCATCTTGGGCTGTCCACAGCAAGTGACAGGATTCCCATTTTACTGAGGCCCGGGAAAGACCAAGTGACCTGTCTAAGGTGGGGGGGGTGGGGCTGAAGGTCGCATCTCACCTGTTCGGACATTTGCCGCATTTTGTCTTGCCAGTAAGCACTGTCCTCCTTCAGATTCTCCACATAACAGTCTCTTTCAAATTGCAGTTGCTTCAGTAAATCGCTCAGCTGCAGGGAGAGGCAGAAAAGGTAGCAGGGGCTGTCCCTGAGCCTCACCGGCTCCTGGGCACCGGGGGTCGTCCTCCTTCCACCCGCCTCAGTCTGCCGGGCCTCACCTGCCCCACACGGGCCTCCAGGCGTGCCCGCTCCTCTAGGGCCTGCTGTAACTCCTGGCTGCTATCGTGGGGTTTCGATTCACTAGAAAACTGGAGCATGAAAGACGAGGTTGTTAGATGTGGGGAGCCCACGCTGTACCATGCAAACCGCCCCCCCACTGCAAAAGGGTCTGAGCTGGGGTAATGTACGAACTGGGATAACATAACAACTTGGGATAGACAAAGATCTCTGTGCTCACGTTGTTAGGACTGTACCCAGAGGCTTTCTGAAACTAAATATTCACTGTTCCTCTAGCTCCCAGGACCCCCCCGGACCTGATGTGTATCCTTCCAGATCCTTTCCTGGCTATAGTGAATAAGGCTACAAACTGGTCCAGGGGTGGTCGGGTCACAGAGTCCAGACGTCCACCAACTTCAGGGCAACCTCAAGGCCTCACTTTGTATCGCTAGCAGGCCCGCTTACTAGACTGCGCATCACAGGAATGGGCCACAGAGGGACATTCCATTAACACTCGCTGAATGGATGGGGAGCCGGATGTCTGGATGGGTACAGAGCTCTGTCTGCTGCCTAGGCTAGACCCAATTGGAGACTCCTGTTCTGCTCTGGGGGACTGACCATAAGAGGAGCCCTAACAGATCAGGTACCATCCAGGAGAAAGCAATCAGGAGGGTGACAGACCACATGAGCCCCAGCTGGGTCTGTGTAGCTTGGAAAAGATGAGGGAGCCACAAGGAATCTGTACACAGGCTCCCCCACTCCCCAGTATCAGAAGGTCTGTCTTGGGAAAGAGACGAGATTTTTCCTGTGTTGATCAGGAGGGAAGAGAGCCCCAACGAGGGAAGCAACTTGAAGGCAGAGTATGGCTCAGTGTGAAGAAACCCTGACCGAGGGGAGCCTCTGACCTTGGTGGCCCACCCTCCAAGAGGAAGCAGGAGGATTCACGGGCCAGCCTTGTGCCTGACACCTATGCAACAATGGTTTGCACCCAGAACACTTTGAAAAACCAAATAAAAAACATCCCTGAGAGGGGCGCCTGGGTGACTCAGTGGGTTAAAGCCTCTGCCTTCAGCTCAGGTCATGATCCCAGGGTCCTGGGATCGAGCCCTGCATCGGGCTCTCTGCTCGGTGGGGAGCCTGCTTCCCTCTCTCTGTCTCTGCCTGCCTCTCTGCCTACTTGTGATCTCTGTCTGTCATATAAATAAATAAAATCTTTAAAAAAAAAAAAATCCCTGAGATTCTGATTCCACAGATCTGGGCTGGGCCCTGATGTGTGGAGTTTGATCAATGTTTGGAGCAGGATTCTACAGCAGGGCCAGAACAAGAATGCCGACCTTGCAGCTCGTGGACGGAGGCGGCCCGTGACCCCGACGGCTGGGGCTCGGGCTCCCTGCAGCTCCAGCCTCACCTGCTGCAGCAGAAGCTCTGACATCTCCAGCTTCTTCTGCAGCTCCTCCATCTTGAGCTTCATGCCCGCCTTCTCGTTCACCAACACCCGAAGCTTCTCTTCCAGTTCCGAGTTCTGCTCCTTCAGGTCCTCGGTGTTTTTGCTGTGGCCACAGGCAGCGAGGAAAGACATGAGTACAGAACAGAAAGGAGCCCTCTGGTGATCAACCCGCCACACGTGCCACAGAGCCATGGAACGGGGGCATCGGAAGGGACCCCAGGGCACGAGAGTCCCCAGGGGCAGGCCACAGAGAAGACCTGAGTGGCCTGAAGCCATGGCCTGCGTTGGTGGCACTGCTGGGCCCAGAGCCCAGCTCTCCACCTGTCCAAACCCAGCCAACCCCCTCCCCCAGCTCCTGCACCCCTCCCACCGCCCAGCCCCCCGCCATCCTACTTGTTCTTGTATAACTCCAGCTTCAGGGCATCTCGCTCTTTGGTTAGGTCCTTGTTGTGCTGCAAACACAGAAAGGCGAAGTCAGGTGTGGCACCCGGCGGGAGGGCGCAGCAGGCAGACTCCCCGACCACGCCACAGCCGCCCTTCACGTTTTGTTCAAAGCCTTTCCAAGCCCACGCTTCCATTTGCCACGGCCAAGAGCTTGGGAAGGGCGGGACAGATTCACGGCTGGCCAGCGGAGGCCCAGACAGAGCAGGTGGCATCACTATCCGCCACAAGGGTCATGACTGACCCTTCCCCAAGGGCACCAGCAGGCACCAGGCTAAGGATCACGTTCAAGCCTCACGACTACTGCATGGGGCAGGCCTGGCTCTGTCTGTCTTACATGTGAGCACAGAGTGTCACAGGGGAAGTCGTTTGCCTGCGATCCCCGACAGAGTGGGAATTAAACACCCAGTCTGTCTGACTCTTCAACCACATTTCCTCCCTGCGGTGGGGGAGCAGATACAAAGAATGAAATTAAATCTGCACTGTGATCTGTCTCCTTTTTGAATGCTCTAGTCATAGGCCCAGCACTCAGAAGGCACAGAGGTGACAGGTCCTCCCATCTACCCTGATCCTCTCCCTGGGTTTTTATAAATCATTTCACACACCTTCTATTACATACATGTGTCCCTTCCTCCACAAATGGTAACATAAGTAAAAGTGCTGTCCTGAATAAATAAATAAATAAAATCTTAAAAAAAAAAGGGGGGGGGGTGCCTGGGTGGCTCAGTGGGTTAAAGCCTCTGCCTTCAGCTCAGGTCATGATCTCAGGGTCCTGGGATGGAGCCCCGCATCGGGCTCTCTGCTCTGCAGGGAGCCTGCTTCCCTTCCTCTCTCTCTGCCTGCCTCTCTGCCTCCTTGTGATCTCTGCCTGTCAAATAAATAAAATCTTAAAAAAAAAAAAAATACACTCCATCTTGTGGAAGGGACCTTTGGGCCCCTCCCCTGCCAGGGAAGCTGCGCCTTGAGTGGATGGGTCCGACGATGGACTCACCCTCTCCACCTGTTTCTGCTGCGTGGAGACGGCAGACAGGGTGCGCTCCAGTTCTCCGATGCGCTGGCGGGAAGACTGCAGACGACTAGCAAGATCTTCAGATTCTCCTGGAATGACAGAGTTCAAAATGGAACCCAAGAAGGAATCCCACCCGAGGCCCGCCAACGTGTGAGGCTGGGGGACGGGAGGGCGCCTGGACTCCCACCTGCTTTTTGCCTGGCCGCCTGCTGGGTATGTGCCAAGGCTGTCTGTAATTCAGTCTTCTCAGACACCAGAATTCCTATGGTCTGGATATGAACCTTCGGGAGAGAAGGAAGAGGGGTGCTGAAGAGGAGGGAAGGAAGCGTTTCCTTGGGGGGGCGGGAGACAGACCACAGCTCCACGCACCTGCAGTTGCTCCCTTAGGGAGCCCTGCTCCTTGGCAAGCTTCTGCTCAAACTCCTTCTTCTCCTGCAGGAAGGACACAACATGGCTGACTGGGAGGAGGCAGAGATGAAACCAGAAAGGACGTGCTCCCAGAATGCCGCTGACGGCCCAGGACAGCCTCAACAACGTGGCCAGATCCTAGGGGGGCTGGGGGGCGCTGGAGAGGGGCCAGGGGGTGGGGAAGGGGTAGGGGACGAGGGGGCCTTTTATTCCTCCAGGCTGGGAGCCAGATGAGCATGGGCCTCTACACTTGAACCCTCCCCAAACCCATCTGCCATGTGAACAGCAGACAAAGAAATCACGTTACTTTTTCCAGTTGGTCCAAAGATTCCTGGTTTTGCTGCTTCTGTGGGAAGAGTCGAAGGAAGGTAACTCAGTCTGTCGGCCTTTGCTACCTTCCCCACACCAAGATGGAGGATGGGCAGGGGCTGGGAATGGGTTTTAAAGGGAAAGTTCAGGGGCGCCTGGGTGGCTCAGTGGGTTGGAGCCTCTGCCTTCGGCTCGGGTCATGGTCCCAGGGTCCTGGGATCGAGCCCCGCATCGGGCTCTCTGCTCTGTGAAGAGCCTGCTTCCTCCTCTCTCTCTGCCTGCCTCTCTGCCTACTTGTGATCTCTCTCTGTCAAATAAATAAAATGTTAAAAAAAAAATTATAAAGGGAAAGTTCACAGGGAGATGAACAGACACACTGTCCTCAAGCTCCTGAGGAAAGAGACTTTGGGTCTCAGGTGGCTTTGCTCAAGTGAGAGTCTGGATCCAGATGCCCGTGAAAGGACAAGGACCTGAACGTCTAGAAATGGGAGCTGAGAAGTGAGAGACTACCCTTCTGTCGGCCTGTGGTTGGGGGGGGGTGCATTCATTCAACAAATATTTACTGAGCACACCTCCCCCCCAGGCCAGGTTCTGTTGAATGAGAAGGACCTGATTTTCTGAGCTAAAAGGGACCTCGGCCACCTCTAATTCTATCTCCTTGGGACACTGAAGCCCAGAGAGGAGAGGGGACTGGTCTGAGTTGAAAGATGGAGCAAATGAGGGGCTGAGTCAGGGCTGGAGCGCACGGGTCAAGCCAGTGCTTCCTCTGGGAAGCAAGAGCCCCGGGAGCAAGTACGGGGAGGGCTCAAGCAGGGGTGTCTGGAGAACAGAGAGGAGGCGAAGAAGGCAGCCACAGAGAGCCATGCTGCATGCTCCATGCTCCAGGGTCCCTCCAACGGAGACTTAGGCCCCCGGGCACCCCATTCTCCCCTGGCAGGGGCCCCCAGCCCCTTTCTTCAGGGCCCCAGGGAGAAACTGGAGCCCCAGAGTGGCAGCGTGGAACCAGGGGACCCCACTGGACTCTTACCAATTCTTCTATCTTGTTACTGAGTTGTTTGTTTGTTAGATTGCTGGAGTCCAGGGCTAGTGATAGCTCTTGGTACCGGCTCTGAGGTGCATGCAGAGGAGGAGGAGGAGGATGGGGGCGGAGAGAGGTAGAGAGAGCAGTCATTAGGGTTGAGGGCTGTCTGGGCCATCTCAGCTGGCAGCGGGGTACCCAGCCCCCGCCATGGGAGGTGGGGGGGGGCTGGCCTGCAGGGTCACTGGGCCACGGTCCAGACCACTTACCTCCAGATCCTTCATATTAGCAGGCGACAGGCCCTCTCCATTGACGTAGGATGAAGACTAGGAGGCACAAAACGGCGCACATGGAGGCGCGCTCTGCTCCCCTCCCGGTTCCCTAACCCTCTGACTCCTCGACCTGCCCATCAGCCGCAAACCGATCTGCCTAAGCCCTTTGTGCCAACTCCTTCTAGTTCTTATCTCCCCCTCCATGGCCCCCTCCCAGGTGGCTCCCATTCTGTGCTTCCTGCGGAGGGATCAAAGGATGTAACCAGCTTCGAGGTCCAACCCCTTCAGTTTGGGGAGCTTCAAAGAGGACTCAAAGGGGGCCCCTGGGTGGCTCAGTCCATTAAGCATCTGCATTTGACTCAGCTCATGATCCCAGGGTCCTGGGATCAAGTCCTGCATCGGGCTCCCTGCTCAGTGGGGAGTCAGAGTCTGCCTCTCCCTCTCCCACTCCTCCTGCTTGTGTTCCCTCTCTCTCTGTGTCAGATAATTCAATAAAATCTTTTTTAAAAATTTAAAAAAAAAAAAGGACTCAGAGGAGTCATGCCGAGCTGAACATTGCCCAGCAAGCTAGCTGCTCCCGGGCTCTTCCTTCCCTCTTGGGAACCTCTACCTCAGTTTCTTTCTGTCACATTCCCCACTATCTACCCTCTCCCTTGGGTTTCAAGTTCTGGGGTACCTCAGACACAAGACCATTGAGCTGCTGAGAAAGTTGTCGCAGGCTCTCGGTAGATGACAGACATCTGGGGACAAACATGGGAGTCAGGGGTGCAGGAGGTTCAATGGGAAAGAGGGGGTGGCCGGCAGTAGCCTGTCCCGACTCCCTCGGCCTAGGGGCTGCTGGCCCTATAGGAGATACTCACTCGTTTTCATCCGTAAGGAAAGGGCCATTTTCTGCATCGTGACTCTGTTCAGGAAGAAACACATGAGGTTGTTACTCAGCTGCTCATGAAGACCACCCAGGGGCGGGGTGGGGAGGCAACCTGCCAGCTTCCCAAACTTCAAGGAAAGACCTGGTCTTGGCCTCCCCCACCTCAGTCCTCCGGGAGGAACCAAGTACCTGAAGAAAGGGGAAGAGGACCCAGAGCAGGTCCAGTCCTCTGAGGAGGAGGAGCGGGGGGTGGACACAGAGTGGGGCGGCAGGTGGCAGGGTGAGGCACAAACCTGAACTGACGCCATGCTAGTAACACGAAGGGGACTAGCACAAGGCGAAGGGACACCATCAGGTGCCACGGTGTCATCAATAGTTGGTGTGGCAGGAGTGGCGCGGTCTTTGGGCGCCTGTCACAGAACAGAGCAGGGGGTTAGGGGGCCATGCGGATAAGAAGGCGCCCGGCTGCCATGGATGCGGGGGTACAGAGCGAGCAGGACAGGGGTTGCTGGGGTCAGAGGGATGGTCACACATGCTGGGAGCCACTGTGGAGTGTGGCTGTGACTCGCCCGAGCTGAGGGCGGCTCTGCAGCCTTCTGGACGGCCAAAGCTCCAAGCAGGGTCTGCACGACCTCCTTCCTGAAAGTGGGGGCCTTGTTCTCCATGGAGCTCGGCAAGGGACAGTATCAGGCTCTTGACCTGTGGCAGCCACAGCAGGTGGAGAACAGGGGTGCCCAGTCAGGGAGAAGGAAGGCACTGCTCTTCGGGGATGCCAGAGTGATCCTCGCCCTGGGCTCCTGGCAGGCAGAGGGTGGTGGTGATAAGGGACGTGGTCAGCCACTATCTGCTTCCTTCCTCTCTGCTCTCTTCTCCCTTCCCCTCTCCTATCCTCCACTACTGGCTCTATCTGCCCAGTTCGGGACTTTTCTGGGAAAGAAGCTACCAAACTCGAAACCTCACCCTACTCCTGCAGGTAAAAAAGAAAAACACAGCCACTAGGCCCACCCCAACCTCCTAGCTCCAAAATAGCTACCCAACTGAGAACCAGCATGAGAAGCCAGAGCTAAGAGGTCTCCCCTCTGACTCCTGGTACCCTGGAGAACAATCCTGGGGCTGGGGACAAGGAGCCATGAAGAAACTGCTCCCCCTTCCCCACCTGGACCCACCTGCTTGACCAGGGCCCCACCCAGCCTCTTTCTGGGCTCACACGTGACATCTGGCTCTACAGATCTAATGTTTGATGAGGTACAAAAATGAGCAGACAGGTGGGGAAGATGGCTGCCAAGCTCGAGTTTGAAGAGGGGAGCACATTAGGGAGCCAAGGCCTGGCCAGCGGGGCCGGCACCAGGAGGAAGAGGGACCCAGGGCTGGATGTTCTCTGGACATCAGCCCTGACCTCTGAAAAGTCAACTCTATTGCCCTCCTTAGAGCTAGTGATGCAGAGCTGGGGAAGCTGAGGATGAATCAAGCAATTTGCGTGTTTACTGTCCCGGCTGTGACCTTTGACCCTGAAACCAACCGGTCAACAGAATCTCCCAGGTAACAGCAGGGGCTCAGCAGCTGGCCGGGTTTGAAGACTTTAGGGAAGGTGGGCACTTCCAGCCCTGGGCCCTGGCAAGCTCTGGGTGCCTCCTGGCATCCTGGGGTCCCATGGATCCCTAGCACTAGACCCAAGAATGTTCAGAGAAGGAATAAAAGTGATTTTCTGAGGACTTAAATATATGTAACACGACGCTTTTATGATCAACCAAGCTATTTCACAATTTTAGGTCTTAGAGCAAAAGTATGGAGTATTTAAAAAAATCACTCCCCACTCCCCCAACGGTCCCATTCCATTAAAATTTTATTTCTTCATGAGTCCCCATTTCTGGAAATGCTATCAGCTCTGTCCAGGATCCTATAACCACAAGCCTGCGTTGCAGGAACAGAAAACAAGTGGGAAATGGCCATGGAGACAGAAAGGATTGAAAAACCACAAAAAGGATCTGGGTCTTCGTTTCCAGGACAACAGGGGGGTGCGGGCACAGGTTCTTAGAACTCAGTGCAAATACCAGCTTCAGGAGTCCTCTAGGCCAGGGCTCCCTTCCCCGTGCCCCTCAGCAGCTCCTCTGAGCCAACCAGGTGAGTCAAAGCACCTGGACAGACCTGATACCCCGGGTTTGAGCGGTCCCAGTGAGTAAAAGGCTCTCACACCAGCATCCAGGGCTCTGTGCCCACCCTCTGCCCATGCCCATCTCTTGCAGGACCTGGTTGAATTTCAGCCCTACTGCCCTGGCCTGGGCGGTGCCCCAGGACAAAGTGGGAACATCATGTCCAGAGAACCCACCAAGGCTCCCTCTCTAGGCAACACTCTGTGAGCTCATAATACTGGTTGTTACCTGGATCCCTCCCTCCCTCTGCTCGGAGCTCCCACTTCCCCCCACTCTCCATCTGGATAAATGCTACCCACCTGTAATCTTCAAACCAGTCTCGAGTCCATTTAGAACAAACCTCACCCTTAGCTGGGCACTTGGAACATTGCCACATTCTACCCTTGCTTCTTGTGGTAGGGTCGGCCTCCCTCAGTCCACGTTCGACCTGGCTTACCTCTTTTCTGGAGCGCCTAGCCAATCGCCTCCCCTAGCAAGGGCCCACTGAACACACAGCCGAGTGTCCAGCTGATTTTTAAAAGAGAACAGGGGCGGGATATCCTGGTCACTTATGACCTCGAACCTTGTAACTGTAATGTACGCTCCCTTTGTCTTAAACCCTGCAGTTACTTACTCTCAACCCAAAATGGATTCATCCAGTTCAGAGAGAGCACAAACTGCTACGCAGTCTGTTGGGTCTTTTGGGGACAGGAGCCCAAAGGGCAAGCCTGAAGGTTTGCTTTTATTTAATCTCTCCGAGTCTGACATGCCACTGGGTGTTCATACCCAAGGCTCGAAAAGCCCAGATCCCACGCACCTGCTCTGGAAGCTTTTCCAAATTACCTTTAAATGTCAAGGTGTGTCTCACTTTCTTCAAGATGATAAAAGATGTGGGGCAAGGAAAACAACCCAACCAACCAAGCAGGTGGAAAAAGCAGACGTGAACAGGCTGAGGTTTAATGAAAGCAACACAAAATAAGCCAGAGGCATAGCCTCCCCCAAACCAGAGAAGCCTTGGGGCATGCACAGCCAGGAGGAAGCAAGCCAGAGAGGAAGCTTGGCACTGCCTCACCTGCCACTTGTCCAATGGGGGGAGTGCTACCCCATTGGAGCGGTTAAGGTCGGACACCAGCACCTTCAGGATGTCCTGAATCTACAGGAGGCGAGAAGGGAGAAACAAGGGCAAGGGGAGAGAGAAAAGTGGCTTAGAGAGAGGTGAGAGAGTCAGGGAAGGAAGAAGGGAAGAGAGAAGGGAACAAATCCATGGCCTGGGCCGCCTTCCCAAACGGCCACCGGCTGCCTTGCTGGAGACAGAAATCAAGGTACACAAAGGGAAAATCCCCTGAACTAGACAGAGAATGCAGTCACTGGCCCGATGCGGCAGTTTTCTTAATACACTCATGAGACCCGCTCCTCAGGCCCAGGATGCTGGGGACGAATCTGACAGGAATGCCATCTCCCTTCGAAAAATCAGACTTCTGAGGAAGGGTTCGCTTGAACAAAGGGGGTTCCAGCTTGAAGTCTGAAAGGTACGGATCTGCTCCAACAATATCCTCTTACGGATGAGGCCACTTGACCCAGGGGAGGAAGTGATTTTCCTGAGGTCGCCCAGCAAGCTGGTGGCAAAGATGGACTCAAAAGTCAATGTCACCTAACCCAAGTGCTTGGGCCCCTCCTCGCTACACCCTGGGCCTCTTCCGGTGCTTCCTAAAGGGACAGTGTGACAGCATATGGCTGCTCTGTGTGGCTTCCCGTATGAGGCCGGGGATGAGGAAAGTCACCAGATCAGTACATCAAATACCACTACCCTTTAGCAAATCTTTACCCTGCACCAGGCCCTATAGCAGGCCTGGGTGGCTCAGTCAGTTAAATGTCCGGCTCTTGATTTCTTTCTCCTCAAGTTACGATCTCAGGGTCCCAGGATGGAGCTCCATGTCAGGCTCTGTGCTCAGCCGGAAGTCCACTTGAGGATTTTCTCCCTCTCCCTCTCCCTTTCCCTCTCCTTTTGTCCCCCACCCCCACCCCTCTCTCTCTCAAATAAATAAATCTTTAAAAAAAAAAATCAACCATCTCATTCCAGTGTCACAAGTGTGAGTAAGATAACATTACCCCAATCTTCCTGATGTGGAAATATACCCCTAGCAGGGACATTATCCCTGGCAAAGGGAGAGTTAGGACTCAAACCTGTACCTGACACTTCTTCCACAACCTTAACCACCACCCTCTACTCCCCTTGGAGCACCCCTGGTCCCAGGAGTTTGGCCAGCCAATACTCACATCCTCAGGGGAGTGACAACTATGAGAAGCTGTTGTTTCTGAGCAACTCCCATTTTTGATCTTCCGTTTTTTCTTTACTCCTGCAGGAGTACCAGGACTATTCTTCTGCTGATACTCCCTCAACTGCAGAAAAGAAAAGCAGTGAGAACTCTAAGCTCCTATATTCACACCCAACTCCCAATATAGGAGTATATCGTAAACTTTGTAGTTTACTACAAAGTTTACGATATACTCCTATATTCGCCATCTGATTTAATGCCATCAACAGCCCTACAAGGTGCTGTAATTCTCAGTGACCGCAGAAATGGAATGATAACATGGCATTATAAAGGGGGGGGAGCAATAATGGAATTTAAACCTAGTCTTCTGACTCTGAGTTCTGGGGGTATGCCATGAAATCAGCAAGTGCCAAGAGGCAAAACCAGAGGTGGAGATGAAAAAGTAAACATCTGAGTAATCTAGGGTCCTTTCCTACCCATCTGTTAAAGCTGCACACTGGTACTTATCAAACTTTTACATTAATGTATCCTGATGGCAGAAGGCAATGAAGGCACACACCTAGTGAACGTGGACAACCCAAGCACCATTTCACTAGAAGTCTATTATAATCTTACAAATCTATGCAAATGTCATCCCTAGGTACATTAATATAAAAGGACTTTTCTCCCTCAAGAGAATCAAGCACAACTTATACTTCAGTCCCATATTATCCTGTGGCATTTAGAAAACTCCATGTTGAGATGATGATTTGGGGAAGATTCCCACCTGTGAAGTTCAGGTTCCAGAGATCTGTTCCACAGAGGATAAGCAGATCTCACTCCAAAGAGCACTGATTGAGGGGGACTCTGGTCCCAGAATCACAGGGAATTAAAATGTGAGGTAGAGAATTCAGATTTAAAATGTGAAAGTCTTTCTGGACAGTATAAACCTAGGAGGAAACCATACCAAAGAAAACACATTCTCCCCTTGTCACCAAGGTGTTATCAACGTTCCGTGATCACTTAAGTCAGTTGTGTAAGGATGGGGTACAGTCTTAGAGTAAGGGCTCCTGAAACCTCTTCCACCTAGGTCCCATAGTCCCCAGTCCCCTTTAAGCTGGATATTTGTGCCGCGACCCGAGAAACCGGAAAGGGTATGAAAACACTGGGGGACTGGGTAGTAAGATCAAACACCGGACTCTTGGCGCTAATGACAGTTCCGAGGGGGATTGTGACGTAACTACATTCCACTCCTCCCTACCGACGCCCGAGTCGCCGCTCCGCGGTGGGGGAGGGGAAAGCAGGGCCGGGACCGAGGTCCTCCGAGGACCGGGGAGTCCGGTCCTCTAGTTCTGGGTGGCAGAAGGCGAGGGTCAAGCCCGGAGCGAGGATCCCGGGGGTCACAGGCCCAAAGTCACCCAGGGGCGACGGGAGAGGGCGAGGGCTGGGCTGCCGGGGGGCGGGACTGGCTGAGAAGACTTTGGGTGGGGGAGCGCCAAGGGGCGCCGAGGGGCTCGCCCTGTGTGCCTCAGGGGCAGCACAGACTCTGGCCACTGCCCGGCCGTCGGAGAGGCCTTTGGCTGGGTCAGGGAGCCGCGACTCGGCACATTTTACCTTTTTCTTGGCAGCTGCCAATTTGCTCTGTCGGGTTTCTTCCGACATCCCGGGAAGGGGGGAGGGAAGGGGGGGCCACATCACCAAATCCCGTCAACCACTGCGGAATAGCTTCCGCTGGTCAAAGCGCCGGTGTGCGACTGAGCCAGAAAAGGAGGGACCCGGAGATTCTAAGCAGCAGCTGGGTGGGCGTGGCCCCAATACTTGAATCCTATTGGCCGGAGAGAAAGATGAAAGGAAAGGGGGCATGGTCAGACGGCCGCGGGCCCCCAGGGACAGGTGGAGTCACAATGAAAGCTGCGCGCGCAGCCGCTGTCCCCGCCCACCTCGAGGGAGGGGCGGGGCTTGAAGTGGCTGGGTGCGCGCGCACATCTCCCTATCTGACCGTTCCCGGCCTCCGTCATAAGATTCCGAAAAAATGGCGGGCTTGAGGGGCTGCTCTCCCGCCCTCGCCCTGGACCCTCCTGCACTACATACTCCTCCGAGACGGGGGCCTCGGACCCCAGGGCTCCGGAGGTGGGCAAGGAGCGGAGGGCATGGCGAAAGGGCATCCCTTCATAGTCCCCTTCCGGACTCCCCATGGCCCTGCCCCAGACTCTCCCATCCCAGAGATCACTTCCGGAAACCTCCATCTAGCCCTCCACACACTCCCCCTCTCAAGAGTCTCCCCTTCCTTGAGGATCCCTACCCTGATACTGGACCATAACTAACCCCTTTCCCAACTCCTAACCTCCCACACCACCCACACACCCCTTTCCACCCAGAGCCGACTCTAGGCTCAATCAGCATTTTAACCTCGGATTCCTCTCCAGGACTCAGCCAGGACTTTCCAAAAGTTGCCGCGGGACCTTCCGATCCCCGGTGAGTATGTCTATGCACCCCTCCCTTCTCACCCTCCACCGTGGAAGTCGGTGCTGCTCCCAGTCCCTCCTCTATCCCCAACAGTAGCTGAACCACCCCAGCCCTCTTCAAACCTTCCCCCAGCAGACCTTGTTCTGCTGAGAAACTCCAGGTCATTTCTCAGTCCTTCCCCTTCTCTTCCTCCCTGCCCACCAAGCTTCAAAGAAGAAGCCCTGTCCTGGCATTTGCTGGTGGTACCCCAGGCTCTCCCAATGGGCTCTGTCTCTCCTCCTTGCTGACAGCACCACAAGTGGTTGGTTTTGAAAACACCAGGATCCCCTCCCTCACGTGTTCCACCCCACACAGAAACCACTCTCATTCCCTCAGAGGCACGTGCTCTCTCCCGCCTTTGCCATTTGGTTATACTGTCCCTTTCTGGAATACTCTTCCTTCCAGCTCTTTAGCAAGGTGGTGCCTGCTCATCCTTTAGAGTAGAGGTCCCCCAGGGAAGCCTCACCCCCACTTCTGACTCAGTCCAGTTGCTGAGACACTCCCTTGGCACACTGTACTTCACCTTAAAAGTACTTTTTCAGGCTTGTCGTTAGTTGATTAATTATTTGTCATTCACCCATTCATCTGACACGTTTTTGGTGGCTTTTTTTTTTTAAGATTTTATTTATTTATTTGACAGACAGAGATCACAAGTAGTCAGAGAGGCAGGTGGAGAGAGAGGAAGCAGGCTCCCCGAAGAGCAGAGAGCCTGAATCGGGACTCAATCCCAGGACCCTGGGATCATGACCTGAGCCGAAGGCAGAGGCTTTTCCCACTGAGCCACCCAGCTGCCCCTGGTTTTTTTTTTGTTTGTTTGTTTTTTTAAGATTTTATTTATTTATTTGTCAGAGAGAGAGAGCACAAGCAGGCAGAGCGGCAGGCAGTGGGAGAGGGAGAAGCAGGCTCCCTGCCAAGCAGGGAGCCCGAATCAGGACTCAATCCCAGGACTCTGGGATCATGACCTGAGCCAAAGGCAGATACTTAACCAACTGAGCCACCCAGGCATCCCTGACACGTTTTATTGAGTGTCTACTATGTGCCAAGCCCTGTTGGGGACACAGTGAACAAAACACTCTCCCTGCCCTCGTGGGGTTTACACTCCAGGGGCATAAGGCTGACAGTGAACAGAACATTATTTATGAAATGTATATGTCAAGTGGTGATGGGTGTTATAAAATATCAGGACAAAAGAATAGTGAGCTATTGAGGAGTGACCATTTTAGGCGGGGTGGTCTGTGAAGGCCTTCCTGATGAAGTGTGAGTAGAGCTTTAAATGGAGATATCTGGAGGAAAAACATAATTATTTAGGGGCAGAGAGGGCAAAGATGAACTGCAGCCCCGGGGAAGGGGATTGTTACCCAATGGAATTATAAGCCCAATGACATCACAGACTTGAGCATCTGAGGTCTGATTCGGGGCCAGGATGGGCCCTTTAATTAGGACTAGGTGTGGCTAGGACTGAAAGAAAACCCCAAATAATGGTGGCCTAAACCCAGGCCTCTGTCTTGTTCCACTGCACCTTCAGCATGGTTCTACCTATGGCCCAAAACACCGTTCAGCTCTTTGATTACATCCACATTCCAGCCAGCAGGGAGGAGGAAGACAGGCCAGAGAAAGGCGTACCCTCTCGCTGGAAGGACAATTCCCACACGTTGCATACATAATTTCTGATTAACTTCCACTTGCCAGAACTTGGAGGGCTACATCTAATTCCAAGGGCAGCAGGGCAATGTAATCTTATTGGGGGTAGGGGGTATTGGTCACCAAGCAGAAGGTGGGGCAGTGGTTGTTGAAAACAATGTGTAGGTTCTGAATTGTGGATAATGGGTCACTCTGGCTAATGACTTTGTGTGCCACTCAGCGGCCGTCTCCCAAGTCTGGCCAGGCTGATGGGGCCGGTTGGGAGTCTCTGCACCTTGACATTCAGAAACTGAAGGAAAAGAGGGACCTGCTGGACAAGGAGATCGTCCAGTTAATATCTGAGTAAGTCTCTTTGGGTTCCTCAGCATGCTTAAGATAACTTTTAACCTGGGCCCGGTAACTGAAACCCAGCCACACTAGCTTAGTGTAAAACCAGGACTATGTCCTGTGGAGGGATTCAACGTATCTCAGCAGCCTCTCTCGGGTAGGGGGTGGTCAGACCCAGGAGGAGCAGGAACAAGGGAATGGAAAGCTGTCCAGAGCAGAGGTTATCGCTCTCTCAGTCCATCTCTATCTCTGCTTCTGGTCCTTCTCTGCCTCTGCTTCTGTCTGCACACCACCTGCATTCTCTCTCTACAGGTGGGCTCTCCAGGGCTTGGGGGAAGCTGGCTCTTCCCCAACTCCTGGACTTTCTCACGGCCCTCGCTCCAGCCAGGTGGCACAGACTGAGCAGTCTTTGAATGTGCATTTCACGCAGGAGGGGAATCTGACTAGCCACCCATGTGCCCATCTGTGAATCCCCCTGCGGTGGCCAGGGTCACATAGCACCAGTGTGGCTGGGAACTGCTCCCTCAGGGCACAGGGAGATTTGCCTCCTGAGGGCAGGGTCTGTCTTGTCCATAGTAGATCCTTAGTGAACATTTGTGGTTTTTTGTTTTTCTAAGATTTTATTTATTTACATGACAGACAGAGATCACAAGGAGGCAGAGAGAGAGGGGGAAAGCAGGTTCCCCACTGAGCAGAGAGCCCGATGTGGGGCTTGATCCCAGGACCCCGAGATCATGACCTGAGCCGAAGGCAGAGGCTTAACCCACTGAGCCACCCAGGCGCCCCTTGTGTGTGTGTGTGTGTGTGTGTGTGTGTGTGTTTTAAGATCTTATTTATTTGGGGGCGCCTGGGTGGCTCAGTGGGTTAAGCCTCTGC